ATTATTGTAATACAAATTTGATATTACTATGTTTGTAGTAAAACATAGTATCCAATAATCATAAGTTTATAAACATAAACAATATAATATAAAATAACAATGGTCAAAACGATTTAGGAGGCCATGCTATGTCAGAGTATGCCTTATAAACTAGACCAGGAGAGTAGTATCCTGTTTGGATGCTCAAGCTAACATATAATATATATAGTCAAAAGTATTTAGCTTGGGGAAACAAGTTAATATATTCCTATTAGGTAGGAAGTTGATTTTAACTGATCAGATAAAATATTACTCCTAGTTAGGGTATCTGCATCTACTCTACTAGTTTTAGTCGCTAAGATTAGTAGGCGGGCCGGGATCTATGTATACCAGGGGATTAATTAGGTTTTCCGCAAAGGTTTCACTCTATGATCCCAATTCCCAATCATTATATACTAGCTGACGCTGTGATGGAAATTGACACACTAGAAAAATGCACGTACGAATCACATGGGGAGAGACACGAGAAGGACATCGCATAGAAAAATTTGGAGCCGAGAGGGATGATTTGGATACAGCGCTTGCTAGAAGGATTTGGCTAGCTGCGTGATGATGTGGTGGATTTGGGCGGTTTGGGAGGTGGGGATTGCGGGGCGTGTTAGGGTCCGGTCGCTCGGACCCTAACCCAGCGCCGATGATTTTTTCCATGCTCCAGCTGGTTCCCGTCCGTGTGCCGATAATTCCCGGGTTGTTCCGGTCCGTGCCGCTTCGAGGCTACCAGAGAGCGCGCGCTGCAAACTTCTTTATTTGCAGAGGGTAGATCACGTGATAGCACTGTTGCCACAAAAAAAATTATTGAAAACTGCTCCTTGACGTGCATGCATGCTCCGAAAAGAAAAACACGCTGAGAATATACCTACGCAAACATCTGCACAAGTTTTAAAAAGTAATAACTATTAAACTAAACATCCAAATTAAATTTCAATTACACCATCATGTTTCCTGCAATAAATCCTTCAAAATAAGATCTCACATAGATATTTTTAGATAAAATTTTATAACGAACATTTATCTTGTGAAGATAGAACAATTTTTTTATTGAGCAGAAGCAATGTTCTAAGTTAAAAAAAATAATGTTCCACCTTCATAAGAAAAATGTTCTCTATTTACGAGAACAATATTAGGTTCATTGAATTGGTATTATAATAACCACGAAAATAAAAAATAATAACAAAATAAAAATAAATAAATAAATACATAACGTAAAGAAAAATAATAAAATCAGAGCAAAGCACAAGGAAAAAAAATGTAATAGAGAAAAATTTAAAAGAACATCACTTAGATACTTTTCAAACATGCTATAAAATACTATATAACATCACATGTATGCTAAGTGAACATGACTAACTACACCGTAGAACATAACTAAATACATTATAGAACATCGCATATATATTAGGTGAACAACATTAAATACATCATAGAACATCATATGTATACTAAGTGAACATAAAAAAAGCACCATAGAACATCACATTATACTACATGAACATCATATGTATATTACGTGAACACAAAAACATCTAGAACATCATATGTATACTACGTGAACATGACAGAACACAACATAGAACATTAAATATATACTACGTGAACATCACACACACACACACATATATATATATAAAATAAAAAATAAAAAAATTTATTGAAACAATTAATTAGAGTAAAACAATAAAGAACAAAGATACACATAAAAGCATGATTAACAAATGATAAATATATAGAATAAATAAAATAAATGAATAACTTAAATAAGGATGAACATCACATGTGTGCTAAGTGAACATCACTAAATACATCATAAAACATCACTAAATATATTATAGAACATCACATATATATTACGTGAACATCACTAAATACATCGTAGAACATCACATGTATACTAAGTGAACATCACAAAAAATATCATAGAACATCATATATATACTATGAGAACATCACATATACATTACGCGAACATCACAAAATACATCATAGACCATTAAATGCATACCACATGAACATAAAAAAACATAACAGAACATTACATGTATAACACGTAAACATCAAATAAAACATAGAGCATCACATGTATACCCATGAGCATCACAAAAAATAACATAGAACATGATAAAAAATAATAAGAAAAGAAAAGAAATAAAAGCGCTTCGTTCCGTCAGAAGTTAGCATTTATCTTGTACATAACTGAATTTGGATCACAACTCAACAAACTCTACCTTGAGACAAACTCCTTCTTGTAGCATAAAACGAACCTTCACCCTGAAACAACAAAGAAATACTTCCGGTACCAAATAGCTTTTTGGGCTAAACAGTTATACCAACTAAGCTTGAGCAAAGCTCAAACTTAGCAACAGGAATTGGCTTTGTCAACATATCAGCAGGATTATCATGTGTGCTTATCTTGCATACCTTTAGCTTACCTTGCACAACAACATCGCGAACATAATGGTATTTGACATCAATGTGCTTCGTTCTCTCATGGAACATCTGATCTTTAGTGAGACATATAGCACTTTGACTGTCACAAAACAAATTAATGCAAGAATCATCTTCACAAAGCTCAGCAAACAAACCTTTCAACCAAATTGATTCTTTACATGCTTCAGCAACAACCATGTATTCTGCTTCAGTGGTAGACAGAGCAACAACGGGCTGCAATGTTGCCCTCCAACTCACAGCACAACCACCAATAGTGAACACATAACCTGTGAGAGATCTCCTCTTATCCAAATCAACAGCAAAATCTGAATCCACGTAGTCAGTGAGTCCCTTATCAGTCTTGCCAAACTTCAAATAAGCATTTTTTGTACCATGAAGGCACCTGAAAATCCACCGAATAACCTTCCAATGTTCTCTACCAGCATTAGCCATGTATCTACTAACCAAACTCATAGCATCTGATAAATTAGGACGAGAGCAAACCATGGCATACATCAAAGAACCAACAACACTAGAATATGAAACTCTTGACATGTACTCAAAATCCTCATCCATACTAGCACATTGTAAAGCTGATAATTTAAAATGAGGAGCAATAGGAGTACTAACAGACTTTGCATCATGCATGTGGAAACGATAAAGAACTTTCTTAATGTAACTTTGCTGACTAAGAAATAACAAATCAGAATTTCTGTCTCTTGTAATCTCTATACCTAGAATTTTCTTAGCAGCACCAAGATCCTTCATCTCAAACTCACTACTCAACAATTTCTTTAATATAGTGATTTCTTTCTTGCTCTTGGTAGCAATCAACATATCATCAACATATAACAGCAAGTACATAGGTGATCCCTCAATAAATTTAATGTACACACAGCTATCAAATTCAGACCTCTTAAAACCATATGACATTATAAAAGAATCAAACATTTTATACCATTGATGAGAAGACTGTTTCAAACCATATAAGGATCTCTTTAATTTGTAAACATGATCCTCCTTATCAGGTACTATGAACCCTTTTGGCCGGTCCATGTATATCTCCTCCTCGAGCTCTCCATGTAGAAACGCAGTCTTTACATCTAACTGCTCAAGCTCAAGATCTCGCATAGCAACAATATCGAAAAATGTACGAATTGAACTATGCTTTACAACTGGAGAGAACACATCATTATAATCAACACCAGAAATCTAACTGAAACCTTTTGCTACTAACCTTGTCTTAAATCTTGGAGGCTCACTACGAGATAAGCCCTCCTTTCTCTTGAAGATCCATTTACAATGAACGGCCTTTTTTTGTTTAGGCAAGCGCACAACATCCCATATGCCATTTTTCTCGAAAGTGATTGCATCTTCTCTTGCATAGCGAAATCCACTTCTCGCGGTCACCGTAAACAACAATGACTTTCAGTGTACGTAGCCGGCTCATAAATGTTCTCCACCTGCTCAAAGACAACTAAAGGCATAATGAACCATATCACATTCCTCAATTAAACGTGGACGAGGTCCACAATTCCTCTTTGTTTCGTGATTTGCAATAGACTAATTTTGAGGTCGCAAAACAGGGAGGTGAGTCTTGAACAATATCATGAACATTGTTATCAACAATTTTAGTTTTCGATCATCTACGTGCTCCACCAGAAGCTAACATGTTGCTGCTCCTCATCGTAACCAACTGGAGAAACATCTGTGGACAAACTATCATTAAACATAATGATTCATTGAAAACAATGCTCCCCGCTCATGAAAGTCTTTTTTAGTTTTAGGATTCCATAACTTATATCCTTTAACCTGTAACCATAACCAAGAAATGTACACTTAATGGCTCTAGGTTCTAGCTTTCCATTATCAACATGAGCATAAGCGAGGCAACCGAAAACTCTCAATCTGTGAATAATCAAGCAGCATACCGGACCATACCTCAATGGGAGTTTTCTTATTAAGTGGGATAGAAGGTGACCGGTTGATCAAGTAACAGCGATGTTAGCGACCTCAACCAAAAAACGCTCTGTTCATACGAGCATTTGACAAAGATGCAACGATCCCTTGAGATGATGGTTCGGTTCATCGCCACCACCACACCATTTTCTTGAGGAGTGTACGGGATGGTGTGGTGCCTAACAATGCCTTCTTCCCTGCAGTAATTATTAAAAGCATCCGAACAGAATTCACTGCCATTGTCAGTAGGAAGCAATTTTATCTTCTTTTTAGTTTGCCTTTCTATCATAACTTTCCACTCTTTAAAAGTAGCAAAAGTATCATCTTTATTTTTTAGAAAATAGGGCCACACTTTTCTAGAGTAATCATCAATAATGGTAAGCATGTAACGAGCACCATCATAAGAGGTCTTACGAGACGGCCCCCCATAAATCAAAGCATGTACATAATCAAGTGTACCTTTGGTGATATGAATAGATGCATTGAATTTTACCCTCTTGTGCTTACCAAAAACACAAAGTGCTCATGTAACTTTATCTTACCCACAATGCAGCCATCTAGCGGTCTCTCTTGATCAATTACATCATACCAAGTTCACTCATATGTCCAAGACACATATGCTGGAGATTAGTCTTACTTGGTTCATCATTAGAAATAGTAGCAGCAGTGATGGAACCATGTAAAGTACTTCCTCTAAGAACATATAACTTTGTAGAATTCATATCACCTATCATATGAATGAGAGAGCCTTTTGATACCTTACACTCCACCGAACCGGAGTGTTTGTACCCCTCGGCATCAAGTGTCTTTGAGGGAGATGAGATTTTGCCATCCCCGGTATGTGTCTCACATCTTTTTAGTGTGCGTATCATGCCATCATGCATCTTGATCTCAACAGAGCCAATGCCCACGATCTCACGTGGGTTGTTATCTCCCATACGCACGACATCTCCACTATGCGTAGACTTGTAAGAACTGAACCAATCTCTGTTAGAGCATATATGAAACGAGCATGCAGAATCAAGTATCCATTCATCACGACTAGCAACACAACCAGCAAGAACAACAAGAACATCTCCTGAATCAGAACTATCAGCAGCGAAGACAACAGAGGCCTTACCATCACCATCGGATTTGTTTTTTGGTTTATATGTACCATTTCTTTTCTCCTTATTCTGCAGCTTCCAACAATCATCAATGACATGAGTATCTTTCTAACAATACCTACAGAACTTATCCCTGCCTTTGGACTTCGAACGGCCTTTACCGTTCTTGCTCGGGCCTGCCTCTAACCTGCAACACTTCGCCCTTGGAGGACGACACGTCAGACTGAACCATACATTTCATCTTCTCCCTTGTCTAGAGGGCCTCATATACTTCCGCTAGGGTTAGTTCATCACGGCTTAATAGTATGGTATCTCAGAAATTTATAAATGAACTAGGCAGTGAGCATAACAGCAGAAGAACTAAATCTTCATCATCATATTTTACCTCTATCGACACTAGGTCGGCAACGATGTCCTTAAAGATCGATAAGTGGTTCATCACCGAACCACCTTCTTGCAGCTTGTGCGTGAACAACTTCATCTTCACGTGCATCTTACTGGTTAGATCCTTGGACATGCAGATCAATTCCAGCTTAAGCCAAAGTTCTACGGCAGTTTTCACCTGCAGCACTTCTTGCAAAATATCATTATGTAGATGAAGTTGAATCAGAAACAGAGCCTTACGACCCTTTCGCTTTTCTACAGCGGTCCATGACTTCTGCCCTTTGCCTCCAAAACCATCCAGCGCCTCATCAAGATCCAAAGATTGTGCCAGAATCGCCCGCATCTTGACTTGCCACAGCGCAAATCTCGTCTTGTAATCCAGCAGCGGTAGATCAAACTTCATCGATGCCATCGCGAAACCCTAATGTGAAACCAAGCTCTGATACCACTTGTTAGAAATGATAGGTAATATAAACAATGAAAAACAACAGATCAAACACAAGGGACACGAGATTTTTTAACGTGAAAAACCCTCCCAAGAAAGAAGGAAAAAACCACGGGCACCAGCCAACAAATCTTCACTATATCAGGTGAGGTTATAAACGTCGGGGATTTATAACTTTTCTTATCCCAAGACAACGGCTTACAGAAAGTATATATAGAGATGGAAAACCCCTAATAGGTGATGATCCCAAGCCTCCCAGCGACGGGTCTCGCTTCGCTCTGTCAGAAGTTAGCCTTTATCTTGTACATAACTGAATTTGGATCACAACTCAACAATTGGCACTTCGATGCCCCACTGCTCCCTTCCAGGCAACTAGAAGGGATCTCGTGCAAGGTGTCTTGGTGGGTGGATTCCTTAGGTAGGCGGCCATGGTGTCCCGAGATTTACCGCTCAGCGAGGTCATTCCTGACATCACGCTCGTCCACAATGTGGTGCGGCAGCCCCAGCTCTTCCACTACCTCAAGGGATCCAGGTGATTTTCCTCCCATTTTACTCCTTGCGCTAGTACAACAACATTGACCATGACCCCAGCTGACGTTAATCATATTGTTCTTCTCATTTTGGGAGGAAGTGGTGCAGTAGCTATGGAGAAGGAAGAGGATTAGGGAAGCTTATTATTGCCACCACCTGAAGTGAGGATAGGTAGGGCTCCTGGTCACTACGATTTTGGAGACTGTGGAGGGGTTCAGGACCCCATGCTTGGGGGCTGCTTCCTCGATGGAAAAAAAGAACAGAGAAAATGGAAATACTTGGTGACAATTTATTTTACAATTGATTTTTTTGCTTATTATCTTATGGTAATCCAATCATGCTTATGTAGATCTTTAGAAGACATCCACATGAATTGCATTTGCATCCATGAAAATATGCTAGCGGCTTCATAGTTGTTCTACACTGGCGATTTGGTAGCCTAATGGAACCTTTTAATCATGTGACTAGAGATGTTAAGTGCAAGTGGATATTTTGGGAGAGCAAGCAAGCTTTTGGTATCCACCAGGTTCTACCTTTTTGAAGCTAGCAGATACACTTGACCATGTGAGACCTGTGGAGCACATAGTCTAACGCATAATTGTAATTATGTTTATTAGGGGTTTTAAGCCACAAAGTGGATATTTTAGAAGGGCTGCAGTAGTCTTATATCCGCCATCTTGCTTACTATAGAGTTTTCACAACCATATATCACTTTTCTTCTTCCTAGTTCATTAGCTTCCTTTCTTATGTGCTCATCGGCTTAACCTTGGGGATGAACTGATCTAGGAGGTTCTGAGTTGAAGGGCATTGTGAATTTGTGATGGATCGAGTCTTATAGGTTACTGTGTTCAATCTCCATTTTGCGGTGTTATTTGTTTATTGCAGACAATCCATCTCTCCTCTGCTCCTACCGCTGGCCCTGGCGGCCTGCCCTCCTGTTGCTAATGCCTCTCACTCAACTTGTCCTACATGCCGAGGTAAGACTGGTCTTGAGGTTCTCTAATTTTATTTGTTCATTAATTTGTTAGTTAAAGGAGGAAGGTACTCATATGATCTATTGTATGGGAGATGTACCTATTTTCATTGACTTGTCGACTGAGGAAATAACTAAAGATTTCTGGTCTATTTTATGAAAGGAATGAATTCATGTGCTACTGTATTTTTATTTGTGAATATAGATATCTAATATTTAATGTGTTTTCAACCAGAGTGTAAATATTCAGATATTTGTCTTTCATTTCCTGAGGAACTCCTTTTTTCTAGATTCCGAAGCATGACATATTTTTATTCAGATTCCTAGATTAATCAAATAGTTTTTTTTCATAGTGGCTCGATGGATCACAAAATCCACGGTTGCTAATGCGAGTGCCCCCTTTTTTCTTTTTTCTAATAAAAATCTCACGGTGGGGGCTTCCCTTGCTGCACATTTTGCTCAAAGAAAATGCGAGGCATTTGCGTATGCTTAATTTTTTTTAGTAAACCTCTACAGGTCACAAGAGCACAACACTCAGACTCTCGGAGCAAGCTAGCCGTCATTGCCCTAGGCCCAAATAATTTATCCCTAACCATAGCTGTGCATTTGTCCAAGAGTGGATGTTGTTTTCCACATCTATTTTCAATTTCTTGGTCCCAAAATTTCATCCATAAAAAATAATTCTCCTTATTCAGCTACTTCATTATGATAAATTTCTTGGCCAACAAATTTTCATTTGTTCCAACCATAATCATTTTCTGTAATATATGTTGCACAAGTCTTTATAGTCAAAATCTTTTAAACCATAAAATTGTATTAATCAAATCACTAACCATGTAATCCACGTTAAAAAAGTATAACAAGTGTTGTCATAGATTCTATTGAGTCATCACCAACTCATTGTCATATATTCTATTGAGTCATCACCAACTCATTAAAACAGTAGCACCTAACTATAATTGTCATAGATTCTAATTTTTCACTACTAAATTGTCTCCATGTTGAAAATGTGCACCTCTGAATTTTTAGTTCCCCTGCACACAAAAATTCAACTGTTTCGTGCCCAAAAGATCATCTTTTACTAAATGTGTCATTTGTTTCAAATGTCATACGGGTATTTTTGTTCAGCTTATGTTCAGGAATGGGGAAGAAACAGGCTTTAAGGGATTGCAACGCATGACCATCATGTGATCTGCATGCTATTACTAATTGAATTCTGGACTCAAACATGTTCTCATGAGGTTAAAAAATTGTATATGCTCTGAATTGTGAACTCAAATTGAATCTTTTCCTTTATTTTCATCCTTTTGTTTTTGAGATGTCTAAATGATGGAGTGATGGATTAGTTTGTTGTTTTCTTTTTGCTAGATGGCTTGTGATTGAAAGTGATGGAGTGGGCAATGTTTGTATCTCTGTTAACCCATCCCTGAGTAAAGTGATCAATTGCATGCAACTTGCAATAATGGATTGCTTTTAGTCAGTACCAGTGTACTCTATGCAAAGGCATCGATGCTGGCAGGTTAGTTTCACCTTATCTCTGCTAACCTTTTTCCTGTAATTCGCAACTAGTAGTGTTAATAAGAATATTATATGTTTCTAGATGCAAACCGAAGTTCATTGAAACGTTCATGTGGCTTTGGATGCTTCTTCCTGTAGAATATATATGCATTTTAATTAGGATTATCGCATATAAATGCAAACAACGCCTTCATTTATTTCCTAAACTTGCTGTTGCTGCAGAAATACTCATAAATATTATTTTCTGGCATGGGTATTTGTTATCTAGCTCTTTATAAGCCTATGTTATTTTTGTACCTTATTATTTAAAGAATTATTTCTGAAGCTTCTGACAGTAGTAGGCACACCAAACTACTATGTAGTCACAATCCATGTTAATCTGTTGATTTTTCTGCAGCCTATAAGTATGCTAATCTGCAAGAGAGTAGGATTCTAGGTTTTTTCTGGCCTTGCTCGGGCCTCCTTTCTTTAGCCTTCTTTTTATACAGCTCTTTGACCTCTCTATGGAATTGTATATAGTGGGGGTCTCCCATGCTGTACTCATGGTTCAAAAAAGAAAGAAAGAAAGAAGAAAGAGAACTTTGGCTAATGAAGAAGGAGAAGGTACGATTGCTGCACTCTCTTTGTATTAGCTTAGTTAATTTGTCTATTACATGTTTAGAGCTTGCTTACGTTCTTGCACCCCTAATATTATCACCTTTTGTCCTGTGTTGATAATCCTAACTTGCTCATCATAAATCATAACCTAATTTGCTCTTGTTAGTTGGTGTGCTGAAAATCTTTATTGCCTTTCTAGCTTTGTATAGTAAAATTTAATGCCACTTGCATAATTGGATATTTAGCATCCTGAAGTTTTGTAATAGCAGTCTAGTAGATGCTCTGAGGTGTTATTTGTTGATTATCCATTGTATGCTGATGTATAATGTATATTGAGCCTCTACTCTTCTAAAGGTTTGTGGCAACTGTAGGTGAAGTGCTCGCTTCACTTCCGAGCCAATGGGTACTCAACATTATTTCTCACTGATTCAAGATGTTTCCTTAACTTTTTAGCTTTTTGGTTTATACTGACTCTGCGTGTATTTATTTGTTCAAGAGTTTAGAGAGATCTCTATGCTGACAATTGCTCAACATATATTTTTTTAGAACTAAACCTGAGACGCCACTTGCCTAAACCTGTCAATTATGTAGTCTCTTCTACTTGCAAATTCAAAATTGTTTTTCCTTGCAACTATCTATCCTATCCCACTGAGGCAGATTAGCAGCTTATTTACTTGCAAATTATGCCTTCATCTTAATCTTGCCTAGCATTGTGGTGGTGGGACCCATACTAATAAAATATATGCTTTGAAAAAAGTGAAAAGACCAACTGTTTTTATGAATAATCTATTAAGCTAGTGTCCAAATGACATGGCTTGGCTAAGCCAAGCTTATTGGCCTTGCTCTTAACTTAAGGAATATATCAGGGTTTTTATTTTTCATCTCAGAAGTGCTAAAATGATTGTTGCTAAGACCTAATGAGCTACACAATGCAGTATTCAACTGTCATGTCCTAAAAAATTATTTGATAATTTGCTTTTATGTGAACTCTCAACTTATAAATAATGTTTGTCCGGATGTAATCTCGGATGGGAAACTATATTGCAATATATATTATTCTTTATGCAATGAATTCTTTTAATTTCTTGTCGAGTCTAGAGAAGTAGTTTTCTAATGGTAAACTTCGCTTCTTACCATTTCCTTTTCAGCATGATATTTTGTTTTGATCTGCACATTTTGAGTTCATTACACCCTAAACTCGATCAAGTGAAACTATTACATTTTTTAGCTAGCACTCTCCTTGCATCTTTACTAATTTTCTGCATTGATCATACTCTCGCAGATTCATAAGTCTTTGTGCTATCTGACATACTCTTTATTTTTGCTTATAAATTATGTAGATTAGCAG